ATAACAAAAAACGAAGTGCTCACTAAATGTAGAGTCCAAAAACAACTGAAACCCAAAATTCTATCTTTTCAATATTAATATTGAAAGAAATACAAAGTTGAAATATACATATAAAATGAAAATAGAAGTAAAGACTCACCTGCAGAAACTTCAAAGCCGCGTGGATAAAAGCGAGATACTAATTAGCCGAAAATTAGTAGGTATGAGATAAATTAGCGAACTCTTATCGTTGTTTATTTACATTATCTGTTAACAGTCGCGAAATTTCGATCAGCCGGGGCTGTCGTAGCGGTCGATCTTCGCTGTGCACTGCGGTCGAATGTGCTAGTACTAGCAACTAGCTATAGAACATTGGTTGTATAGTCACCGTGTGATGGCTGTGTAGCGCGACATCGCAGTCGCGTAGGCGCTTCCCGCCGAAACCGGTCGTCGTAGTTACAGCGTTAATGTCGTCATCGCGTGACTTCTTTTCCTACTTTGTACAGAGCGACCTTTATAAGGACAAACGCTTTCTTTTAACATTTATGGAGATGATTCAATAACATTTAAGTGTGAAAACGATCTTTTTTTATTAGCCATGCTGAATGGAATGGTAGCGAATTTTTGTAACCATAGCAAAATGAACTTTGTCTTGTAACGTCACATATAACGTACAAAGTACGTACGTAGTACGTAGTAGTACGTAAGTACATAGAATTCTCATGCAGTCTCGGGAATTCTCGCAACTACCGTGTCGTATTACAGTTTGTACATTACACAACTGACAAAGTTTACAATGCTATGTACAGTCAAGAGCTTCGAACGTCAAGCTTGACACTTTGTACTTTGGACCGTTCTTATCGTAAGCTGCATAGAGTTGGATTCAAATCTTAAGTGTCAAGCTTGACGTGCTCCTGACCCTGTACAATTTCGTTACAAAAATAGCTTCGATTCCGATCCGCCATAACGTAAATTTACTAGTTTTCTCCCTACACTAGCCTACTTGTTAATCGACTTAAAAAAAGGAGGAGTTTCTCAATTCGACAATATTTTTTGTGTGTATGTTCCGCGATTACAAATACCGGAGTATTTGTAAACCGATTTTTGATAATTCTTTTTTGTTGGAAAGAGTACCTCTAGGTAACAAAAAATATCATTCTTCTTCCATTATTTTGTTGTCATTCTTATAATAGCGCCATGATGGGTGCTTTTCGTATTTATACTATAGGTACTTACACATTTTCTTGGGTCTAGCGAAATATTAATTAAATATGAAAAAGCTAAACAAGGTCTTCGCCCACGCTCTATCTTCGTAGATGTCCTACAGAGCCTCAAATAGGCGATGACTGCCGGTAAATATTGTCAATATCTACCTACTACCGTAACACAACCTTCTCTACCAATTTAAATGTGCCAACGGAAAAATCTTAACTAGTGAATGTAAACTTAATCCATAATACTGAAGTTGTAATTATTAGGGACAGAAATTAAGAAAATTCAATATTAATATAGTCTAACTTGCTCCTTAGAATATGGCCATATTCTCATATAAAAAAAGTTCTTTAAAACGAAAACCACGTACGTCCTAGCAACACATTTTTACAAGAGTGAGTCAAAAGCAAAATTTTATATCCAAAAAACAAATTCGTAAATATTTCTTGATAGCAAATTAGACCTGCGAGGTCTTCACTCTCAATCGATGACATTAGCCAGTAGCCTTGACAGTCAACGTGTTCCGAACGAATAAATTGGTAGTTGTGAACAGATGTTCATATAAACTACCTACTCCGGTCCTCATTCTTCCGCCTTAAAATTGTTATCTTTAACATGAGGCAATAATCAGTGGTACCCTTAATCATAGCACTACTACGTGAGATATGAATGGTCTTTCCCAACATTATCAACATCATCGTGTTAGAGAGACTATGAATAAATTTACCATGATCACCCCATTTGTCATAAGGATGATGATGGTAATAATAATTATAATAATATTATTTTTATATAAAAATTTCACCTCCATCTCACCTTATAGAAAATGACGATAAAATCGACGATGGAGCACGCTCAACTAAAATAATTCCTATTCACTCTTGCCTTGATAAGGCCCAAGTTATATTATATATTACGTTCAGGGAATAAGTCTGCAGGCAGGGATTATAATAGCAAACATATTATAATCTAACTTTTAATAAGATAATCGACCTGGCAATAAATATCTAAATACGCATAAAACACAACTAAAGCAATTCATCCGATTGTAAAACATAACATTCTCTAAAAGCCTATGAAAAGCTTCTAACACGAATTTATTACGTCATTTTGCAAGAAGTATTATAATTGCGTTATTAAATTAGCGCAGCTTAATCTTGCCATAACTTATTCCTAGGTCGTTACCATATCATTACTCATTTCGTTACTTATCAACCTATACATGACAAGTTTATAATGCTGGGAAGTTTGAGATCATAACACCTATTTTGTATTTTGGTGTACATCAACCCTTCTATACGCGACTCTAAATAATGTGAACTTTCTCCAATAAGTCCATTTTAAGATTTTCGTAGGAGTTTACCGAGTATCACTACATCTTAAGAGCATATAGGACGGGACTCGCTATTAGCGTCATTTCTCGAACAAAACTTTCTGTCACTTTTTGAGGGGCGGGGGGCGGGAGGCTAGTACTACAAGCAAACAGGTGCACTCAAATGCAATTTTGAATCACTATGGTCTCACACAAACAAAAGTCGACAACATTGGCTTATCTTTACAAATACACAGATGAAACACACATTCATGTCATGTCCGTATTTTCATGAATATACTAGAGACGGAAAGTTATCTATGTGACGGTGTCGATATGTATTACGTACTGGTTAATCACGTATATGAAAAATGTAATTCCACCCTTGGCTAGACTGGATCTAGAATATTTCTTTTTGCAATTTTGTGTGTAGTGTAACAGTGGTATTATTTTACTTGTATTTACATGAGGAGATTGCCCGTTGACTTACCAATAAATGGATGACAATAAATACAATCCAGTCTAATCCAATAACTGCGAAAAAAATTCCGGAGTTTTTTTTTGTTCATGTTATATATTTATGATAAGCCGGATTTAACATATACAAACGTAGTGACATGTATAGAAATATAAAAAATAACTAACACGTTTAATTTCAATTGTAAAGTCATTGCAGTATTGCTTAATTTTGTTTACCGCAATTTAAAGGCCCAAAAATTATCCATATTCAGCTTCTATTGGAAATAACAAAAAATGGTGGTTTAGCGTCTAGTGAAAACTACTAGAACACAAGAGTGATGGAGTGGTCTTAATGTCAATATTAACTAATTTTATAGTATTGTGTTGAATTTTATATGAATTCACTTCAAGTAATAAGAGTTGTGCAGATATATGTAGGTACATACAAATATTATAAATGCGAAAATAGCTGTTGGTAGTTATGACGTGCTGTATGAAATGTATCGATGTTTCGAATTTCTAGATTCCAACTAAACGTAAACTAAAAGTTTCATAATCTCGAAAACCGATTTATAACGAAAGCGTTATGCTTTCAAGGGATTTTGATTGCTTATTACAAAGAAAAGATTAAGCTGGTTTGTTTTGTAATATTCCTAAAATAATCTAAAAAAATAAATTTGGGATTACAAAAATTTCAAATTTCAAATATCTTCTATGTCATCCATATGTAATCAATAAATTTAATCAATTAGATTGATCATTGTGAAAAAAATGTGTTAAAATAGAAAACTAGTAATTAATGTAAAAAATAGACGTATAAATGGAATGTACTTCCATCCTTGGCTAGACTGGATGTAGCAAAAATTTTTTTGTAAGTTTGTATGTTGCAAGACGACATATTTCATGGAGCGCTTAACGCGGTGAATTCGATAATGCAAATAAAAACATCGATTTGAAAGTAGTGTTTATTGTGTGATGGTCGTTTTGTGCTTGTACCTTGACAGAGGGGATTGCCTATCAATGACGCCTCCAGTCCTATATGCGCTAAACACGACATAAACGTTTCTGACTACATTATGACTTTTAGGGAGAAGAAAAAGTAGTCGAATTTTTAATTCGAGGTAGCAATCTCACAACTACTAATTCACTTTAAGAAATAATGTTGCCGTGGTTATATTATATAGCGACGCGATTGGCTCACTCAATACGCTGAAACAAAATCAATATTTAACTGAACTCATAAAAGCCAGAATTATGGACATCGATTACCAGTATAGTGAGAAGTAGATGGTAGCTAAGTAAGAAATCACAATGACAAAAACAACAAAATCTTTTTGAAGGTAGGTGCGTAGCTGAAGTTATAAAAGAAAAATCAGCGTGCCATCTCGACAACATGATAGATCTGGTAGATTTATATGTTAAATAACATAACTAATAATACGCCAGTGACAGTGAGAGCTTTATACCAAACAACAATTATGAAATATCTAAAACCATTTAACACCTAGGCTTAATCTCTATATACATCTATCAGTTTTCTATTATCAAATTCTTGATAAAGAAATATACGCACAAATGATTAAAAATATATAATTTAGCTTGATGACCTATTGAGTGAATCAGTGAAGTTCCCTTAAGACAACACTTTTATCGAGTTCTTAGGTTTTCGCGATTGTTACACATAGGAAATGAAACTATTTTTCCGGATTTAAATCGCGTATATTTGATGTTTAAAAACACAAGTATACGCGATTTAAATCCGGAAAAATAGTTTCATTTCCTACAACACTTTTAATTCATCAAAAACTGGCAACCCACAAACGTCAGTTACTGTCTCTAATATTGAAATCCGATTATAGTGACAAGAATTTTTCATACGCGCGATACCATTAACCCGTGAAATCACTACAATATAACCAGCAAACACAACTTTTTAATCAGAACTGACGATACACAGAGATAAATATCTAAAAATATTAAATAAAACGAACGTACACTAAGTTTAGTTTATGGAATATAAGTGAAAGATAAATTTTCTTCAAACATCACACATCTCCTCCATGCGGATGGAATAAGGCACGTCATGTAAGGACGTGTAGTTAACAACTTTGCAATTCAACAGCACGTCTTCAACCAGCATGAATTTGAATTCTTCCCAACGCCGTTGCTCTACAAAATCTTTAAATAACGTCTGTTTGGTCGGTATCTGTCATGTACAACACATTATTTAATAGTTATAGGCAAGCCTCTTACTGTTACAATAATTACACAATAAGTTGTTTGTCGCATCTAGTTCGTCACCACAGACATATGTACCTATATCGAAATAGACACCACAGGTACCGCGCTCTGTATGAAAACCAAGCGTGCCACATTTTTTGTACCTCCGATGACGTCACGAGCGCTATTTAGTGATGGGAAACTTCCTTCGACATTAAAAAGAATGATTAAATCGAAGACGCAGACGCAGCTTGTATGTAGTTTAATGAATTTCAAGTATTAATAGAAGCAGTGAAATATCAATATAGTAAAAAAATAATTATAAGTGTACTAGAATTAATGACACTTATATAAATTTAAATTTGAAGTGGGCAACATCAATATAGTATGAAAAAATGTGCTAGATACTTCATATATTTTAATTGACCAAATTGATCAATCCTCGTACATGTTTGAATTTGTATGAATTTGTGTGAGAAAAAGTTAAGTAATTTCTGAAACGTTTTAAAATATATATATATATATATATATATATTATATATATATATATATATATATTATATATATATATTATATATATATATATATATATATATATATATATATCAATTACATTGTGGGTGATAGATTTAATCACGTTTGCGTTCGATATCGCTTGAAGTCTCGCATTTACGACATTTATCTTTTCTTTGCCAATCATTGTCTACAGTAGTCTTGCCGACCAGCACCAATACTAACAAAAATTACATACCACATACATTGATTTGGCTTCACTGAAATTTCAGAGATCAAGTTTATTTACTCCTACTGCAATGCAATCTGCAAGATTTGAGACCCGTTTCTAAAGAGTGAATTGTGACGTAGGATCGTATTCCAGAACTCTACTCAATGCTCAAGTCAGGCTTGAGTATGATTTAAAGCACTAGAAATCATACTCAAGTCTTGAGTTGAGCATTGAGTAGAGTTCAGGAATACGATCCTAAGAGCGGTTACACACGACGACTTTAAGCAGTGATGTAAACGTGATACAAACACGATTAATTAACCAATTTACTTATTTAATGTTTTTATTAATTTCACTTTTAAATTTACAATTAAGAAAACAAAATAATGTACATATTTAAACCTATACAGATTTTTCGTACATAATTATTATTCAACATAAGAGATTGTATTAATGCAGTCGCGCGTTTGTATCGATGCAATCGCACGTTTGTATCGATGCAGTCGCGCGTTTGTATCGATGCTGTCGCGCGTTTGTATCGATGCAGTCGCGCGTTTCACGAACGCGCGTATGCATCGCTGCTAAAAGTCGCCGTGTGTAACCACTCTAAGATGCACCTAATTTGACGCTGATTTTGCGACAAACATTATTCAATGTTTTTTGCTTGAGATTGAACCAGATTCCCAGTAATTGTTGCAACAAAATCGTAATATTCAAGTGAAAAAAGTTTAGCAGAATGCCATTTGACATTTAAAGTAATATTTTTAATTGAATTTTTTTTTCATGAAGTCTTTGATGAAGTTTTTGATGAAGTCCTTCAGTCGAAAACATGACGAAACGGCCGTACCAAGAAACTGAATGCCTTGTACAAAAGTATCGCTCGTTCGATATTCATGGCCTACTGAAGAAGGATCACAAGTGTACCGCACCAAGTAAAATCCGCAATGTGCTACGAATTAAGTGGCATGCACTGGTTTGCACATTTGTTTTCTCGAAATTCATTCAAAATTAAATAATTGATTTTGAAATAAATTATGCATATTCTGTGTAAGGAAACGTCCTTGTTTATTTATTTTCCCTCAGCTGTGATTAGAAACTGCAAAAACATTGCAGTTTCTAATGACACAATTAGGCATTTTTCGCGTTTTGGACTGATGTTTAACTACGATAACGGCCGGGCGCGTTCTGAAGCATAAGTAGTAGCGGTAACTAAGTGTTTATAACTTATATTGAGCACGCGAAGTAGGTACACTTGCGGAGTCTATTTAGATATATGTCTGTTTTCGTAACAATATGTTATGTCACATATTATTGACAGTAAAAGTACCTTTTTCTCAAGAAAGTATTGAATACGAGTCCAAATGTTTGCAGTGTTACGTTGCAGCAGCCATATCTTGGGGAAAAGCAGGCATTCCACAGGTGTAAGGGCCAATATGCGGCGGTCACGCATATTTTCACCAAATCCAAAACTCGACCCCACATTGTATTGACATACCTGAATCAAAGATGACTTGTATGGCATTTAACGAAGTTTTATAAAAAAAAATATAAATAATAAAAGTAACAACCTGCATGAAGAAAGTCTGTATCTGAGACTTTGATTGTTCTGTTAATATACCAGGAGCACTAGTCCTGCAAATATTAAAAGCGATTAGTACACATGGTTCAGCCATGATGTTAGGGATGTGCTTATTGGTTAAAGTATGACATTTTCATTCTAAAGTACTAATCACTTTGAAATGAAATAAAATAATTTTACTGTAAGATTCTTAATATAATGTTTTTTATTTTAATTTTTAATAAAATGTTTGGGCTTCTAAATTTAGCGTTTGGTATAATTCATGTGTTTCCGTTTTTATTTAGTGCCAACGTGGCGCTAAGGCAGCGCGAACGGAAACATAATTATAAAGGTTTCCAAACGTACCGTGCGTTTTTGCTTTGCCCGATTCCGCGGTGGGTATTTTAACGTCGCAAATGAGCCTCATTTACATGACAATTTCACCGTAAACTACAGAGGAAATAACACAATCCCACAATCGACCCATTTACACGCAGGTAATTTAAAAGTGGTACCACACGAATTGGTCGAACTACTACAGTGGACAAAATACGTTGAAACTTGCATTGTTAATGAACAGATACAGAGTAACTTACTCTTAGACCGTATCTTAGACTTGTTATGAACCTGCGACTACTGTGTGACTATTGTCTTAAAAAGAGTTTTCCATTTTTAGTGTTTCAATCGCGGAGTAATCCACCATAGCTTGCTTAAAACTGGTACAACTTTAGCACTGGTCTATTGTGAAGAAACATGGACGATGGCAACACACGCAGCGAAATCACCACGGCTAGTCTACCGAACTTCACCGCGACTTTTACGCATATAACGCAAGAATGCTGCCAAACAAACCATCTTTACCTAACAGGAGTTGCATTTTGAAGCTCCTCCAAACTCACTTAGATTTTTTTTTATGATATCAAGTGACGTGATGAACAAGTCTTGCGCCTGGTGTTAAGTGATCTGTGGGGTACTGCCACTGCACTCGTCACCCTGAGACATAAGTTGTCAAGTCCCATGTACCTGTAATTTCACTAGTACCTTATCCGTTAAAACCGGAACGTAATAATTCTCACATTACTGCTTGGTGAGAGAAATAGGTAGGAACGCTGTACTTCCCTGGACTAACTCTTTCACAACGGTCTCCAATACTACGATAATTTAATCATTTTTTATTTTAACTAATTTTTTTATAAAGTACTTGGCCGTGCTGAAAGTTTCTGGATTCTCATAAGAAAGACAAGGTATTTATGTTTATACAGGATTTATTGTTTTTCGAAGTACTATTTACACACTTTTGCATTGTTGGAACATTGTGAAAAGCAGTGTGATCAGTCTTCCCTAGGAGCCTCTTCAATGGCTTCGTGGAATGTATTCACCGCCGCTTCTGGGTATGTAAATCGGAAACCTTTAATCTTTAATTTTTGGAAACAAAAAGAAGTCGCATGGTGCAAAGTCTGGGCTGTATGGCGGATGGGTCATCAGCTCCACATTTGAGACCTTCACATACTTCGTTACCTTAACAGAATGTGCAGAGGTGTTGTCGTGGTGAATGACAATATTGCTTCGAGGACGCGAAACGCGACAAAATGCCATGATTAGCGGTCTTTAGCAATCTTGAGCGTATTTCGACCTGTACTTATGTATAAGTGCTACGTCGCATCACTAAAATGGTCCATACACAAACGCATTAACGCGGGGATATAATATGGCGCCACCGTCTATGCGGAAAAGGCACGGAACTAAAACCGAGTGTAGTCTTAGAACGTAACATTTTTGTAATGAAAATATTCCACACATAATCACTTTTTTTTATTGAATTTCCGCGATTTTGTACGATTTCCGCAGCGCAGCGATCTCTGTGAAACCGTAGGTTTATACTTATAATGTTAAATTATAATTATCTATTTTTTCGCTACGTAATGCTATATTGACGTACTTGTAGAGCTTGATTAGTGAAAGTAATTTAGTCCCGGTGAAGCAAAGAAAGTAGAAAGGGATGACATCTAGCGCACTCTGGGTAACAAACGACGAGAACTTTACGTTCATCGTGATGGCGTAGTGTATGCCATCGATACGATAAGTTAAGAAAAAGAAGTAAAAAAACGAGTTCCAACACTCTATTCTTCCGATTCCACATTATTCTATCGTAATGAAATTAATAACCTTCCAGCAAGATGGCAAAAGTAATGGTGCGTGTTTTGATTAAATAAATGTTACTTTCAAAAACATTCATTTGAAATCTCTAATCTAATATTCTTAGTATTTACTAAACCTTATACACTCGAGACGTTCCATCTCAGACGGCTGCAATAGCGTATTGAAACCTGGGTTCAAGCGCTGGGATGGGTCAGGAGAGAGGCTTTGAATTTTATCTTGCTCTGTCGCCGTCGCCGCTGGCGTCGGTGGCACGTAAAAGCTAGTCCTCTTCCCAGAACTGTCGCTGCTTCGACGTGGCTTCTTTTCAATTAATTTTGCGTCAGCTGGTCTAGTCGCTGAAGTTTGCCCCACGGTTGATCTACGAGAGTCGCTAGTACGCTTCAGAATGCTGTCCGTTCTCTTACTAGTCGTTGTCGATTCATCTCGCTCTCGAGTCCCTCCAGGTGGGTGATATCCAGTTACCCATTTTTTTTCGAAATCCTCGTCACTTATTAGTATAGACACCTGAAATTTTTTTTATGATATCAAGGGACGGGACAAACAAGTTGTGCACCTGGTTATAACTACACGCCCATTAATATCAGCTGCCGTGCCACTCATAGGGACAATGCCGCTGCACTCGTCACATTGACACATAAATTTGAGAAGTCAGAAGTAATCTGAAGTATTATTTAATATTTCTCGATGATATACTCGAATACCTAAAAATTGCCACCGAAATTAGATAGAGAACATGAAAATTGCCCAAATACATATTGTAATTATAACTATAATCTTCTCGAGTTAAATTCATACATACCTTTGGGAAACCCAAATTTTATGAGGATTTTTTTTTAATTATTAGCTTTTTTGATACCATGCATATTAAATAGGTACATAGCCTAATTTAAACAATTATCACGTAATAAGCTTTTATTACACTTACGTATGGGTCATATAATGTGTAGAAATTTTTACCCAGGTGTTTTTTTATGATAATCTTCAACGACTCTACCATCTGACAACGTCCAGAAAGGACGAAGTAGACGTAATTGGGTATTCCATAACCATCCCCGAGAATTATTTCGTTACATTCGAAACTCTTGATCCTGGCGACTATGCAACCTTCTCGGAGAGCACACTGTTTCAAAAATGATTAATATAGAGGAGTTCTTATGTTTATGGTAATAGTACTATTAGACAATATCTTAAAGAGGATATTGGCCTTCTTTTGACGGACCTGTTTGTGTTATCGCCTTTTAATTATTGTGCTTCCGTTTATGGCCCTAGAATAAACAGCAATACCGAGAGAGCAATACAGCGAATACAGAATGCATGCATCCGTTTTTGCTATAACGTACCAAAAAGACAGCACATTACGCCATATCTCAATTCCAGATCAATCCTTAATATGAGCGCCAGAAGAGAACTACAATACGCCTGTACTATTCACAGAATAATCTGGAACAAAAAACCAGAATATCTTTTTGAGAAAGTTACCTGGAAAAAAGATTGCTTAAACCGGAACCTCCGCTCTGCCGCTCATAATAAGTTGAAGATTCAGGCACACAAATCAGCGCGATTTAGGGGATGTTTCAGATTTAATGCAGCAAAAATTTGGAATGATCTCCCCCCGCCTTTAAGGCATAAAATGACTGTGGACACTTTTAGAAATAAATATAAAACAGCATTAATTAAGAAGCAGTTTGCTGCAGTAAATCTGAAACACGCTTACTGGAAGTTGTTGCCATTGAAGGATTTCTTCCCTTAGATTACATACACAGAGATACAGACACCCCCACACACCACACACACACACACACACACACACACACACACACACACACACACAC